GCCATGATAACATTACTGCTGTGCTGAGTAAGAGTTGTCTGCCTGACAATTTAGTAATGTTTATTTTCCATTACTATTTGAAAGGCCCATGAAGACATGACTGGGGATGATAAAATGCCATGTTCTGATACGCTTCATTGGCTTCTGAGGCTGTGGTGTCACCAGATTGCCTGTGATGAATGTTCGGCTCCTTCCTCATGCTGCAGACACTCAGAGACTGAGTCTGGGCTATGTTTATGGCAGGGGAGGAAGTCTGGGTCCCTCAGATATATGTATATATTTTATTTTTTATGGTAGTAAGGACTTGCAGCCTTATAACATTTTCTTTTTCCTAAGTTTGCATATGCTCAGTGTTACCAGAACTGTGAGTGTTTCTGAAAGCTTGGGCAGAAATGTTGTCATTAGCTGCCCTGGCTTTTGTCACAGTGATAAAAGGCACATTTGGTGGCTCTGCCAGCACAGGGCCAGGCAGTAAGTGATCCTATCACTGTTAGTGTAGGCGTGCTGCAGCCTGCAAGTGTGAGCTGTGGGGCTGACAGAACAGACAGCTTGCAAAAGATTTTTGGCTAACATGATGAGTGACCTGCTGAGCACAAGTGGCTGTGAGCCGTGGGGAGCTGGGGACAGTGAAAGGCTGTCTGTGCTTGCAGTGTTGGCCAGAGGCAGCTCGTGTGCCTGGCCAGAGCTCTCCTGCGCAAAACCAGGATCCTGATCCTGGATGAAGCCACGGCCGCCATCGACCTGGAGACAGACGACCTCATCCAGATGACCATTCGGACACAGTTTGTGGACTGCACGGTGCTGACCATCGCACACAGGCTGAACACAATCATGGATTACACCAGGTGAAATCTCTGAGTGGCGCGTGGCGGGCTCACGGGATTGCTGGGGATGTGAAGCAGCACTTGGAGGGGTCTGGTTTGTCTCTAGACATGAACGCTGGTTCTCGTGTCGGGCAGTGTGTGAGCAATGATGTGCTATATAATCCCAGAATTTCCAGCCCTGACTTTGCCTCTGTTGGCACAGGAAACAGGTTCTATATTCAGAAACCAGAGCTGTGCAGAGGACACTGCCCAGGGACACTCCTGAGACTGTCTGGAAGCTTAAGGAACCTTGTTAAACCAGCAGCTGCTGTAACTCCTTCACTAACAGCATGCTATTTTAATTACTTGAAAATATATTAGTATTCTTCATGAGCTTTTATCTCCTTGGCTTGCTGGAACTACAGTTTCAGTTCCAGATGCCTTTTTTCCCCCCTCTTGCCCCTGGGAGACAGTGACTGTCCTGTAACTTTCATAGTCAAGCAGCAGCTCAGGGAGAATGTTTATCATCTGTTGTGTTTTAACATGTGAAAATAATTGAGGAAAACAAAAGCAAGGCAAAGATTAGAGAACTTTGCTTTGTGACACAAACAGGTGCCACATTCCTTGTGAGGAATTTTCTGACACATCTTTCCCCCCACACCATCTTTTGTTTTGTACAGGATTCTTGTTCTAGACAACGGGACCATAGCTGAATTTGACAAACCTGCAAACCTTATAGCAGCAAAAGGTATTTTCTACAGTATGGCCAAAGATGCTGGACTGGCATGAAGAGAAGACCCCTTGGGTTTTGGTTTGATGTTTTTTTTAATATTACTGACTTGCCACAAAAGTGACTTGTGAATGTACTGTAATTGACAAAACAGTTTTTGTAGTAGACTCAACTTTTGATACGTGAACAACAAATTTTACAATTATAAGGACCGGGAAGTGAATTTTACATTTTAAAATAATGTCTATATACATAAAGTATTTTATTACATGTTTTTTCCCAGAGAATGACAAATATTCTGCCAAGAAAATGTATGTACCACAGCACAATTATGTACTGCATTCAGGTTTGTAATTAGTAAATTATATTAATGGTACAAAATACACCTGAGTTGTGTGTTTTCTGCATAAGGATTCATAGGATTTGAAGTAAAAAGACAGTCCCAGTTAAGCTGACTCAGCTGAGTAACAGTGAAATGTTGTGTAATCTCTGAGTGCTTCCAACCTGTTACTTTCAATATTTCCCCCAGGACAAGGCAGTCCTGGGACCTTTTGGATCCCTGTCCAGGGCAACTTCAGCATTATAAAATTCCTCTTCAGCCTAAGGAGCAACATGTATTTAAAGCTAAACCTACAAATGGCTTCATATAAAACATTAACTACACTGAATTTTTCTAGTTCAGTATACCCCACACAAGCTCACAGGGACATGATTGGACCAGAGGTGTTGGAAGTTTGCTGTATGTCTTTGGGCAGGAAGTCACTAAGAGTGAGTCTTCACTTAAGCTGAACGTGCATGCTGAGACAGGTGTGTATTTAGTTCATCTTGTTCAACACTTCATCATCATCATCTGCTTTGCAGAAATAATTACCTATTTTATTATTGATAAGCAGGCCTCCTCAGATAAAAAGGAGGCCTGTATTCAAACAGCATTTGCTGCTAGAATCTCCTAGAGCCTCTTTGGCTTTAGTTGTTTGTGTCTTACAGTAAGCACTCCAGAAAACTACCCAGCAAGAAAAGGTTCCTATGTTTTACCAGAAGGAAAAGAAGGCAAAGAAGGAAAGTGCAGAAAAATTTTGAGAAGACAAAAATAATAATTTGTTAATTCTTACAAATTATACTTCTTAAATAGAAACCCAAATCTGCAGCCAAGCATTTATTAGACATTAACATTTCATGTAGCAGAGCACAAAGTAATGAATTATTTATCACACAGAGAATATAATGGTTATACACTGATGAGACTGGGGAGTGTTAATAGTATCTTCCTGGTATAAACTGCACAAGGCATAAAAATATTCCTGAGAATGTGCAGATAGGGATCAGCACCTGTGCAAGGTTGCTGCACCAACAGCTGAGCTTTTCTTTAGGGGGGTCTTACTGGTTAACCCTGAGTCCTGGATTCAGCCAGTGCCTGAACTATCCTGTGCTGGGGAGAAGCCAGCAGCCAGGGTGACATAAGGAATGACAATTTTATTATTCCATGACAGAGAAGTTAATATTCCACCAACAATCTGGTATAAAAACTGATATTGTCTGTAGCTATGATATTTAATGAAAAATCCTTTGTTAGGATTTTTCTCTCCTGAGGAGCTGAAGGCCTCAAAAAAGAAATGTAAACAATAACTGTCTGCTGCTGTAGAATGCAACAAGTGCATCTATGATTGGTGCATGTTAGTTGTTTCTAATTAAGAGCCAATCACAGATGCAGCTAACTTAAACTCTGAAAGTCACAAGATTTTGTTAGGCATTCTATTCTCGTTCTTTCAAGCCTTCTGATAATATTTTCCTCTCTGTTCTTTTCATATAGTTTTAATGTAGTATTTTAACATAATATATATTATAAGATAATAAACCAACCTTCTAAAACAGAATCAAACCTCGTGTCTCCACGCATAGAGAATTCCCAACAATTGTCCATGACTGGGACTAGGTTTGACCTGTGGCACTTTGCAGAAGGGGCTTTTTCAGTGTGACAAAACCTTTTGTATCCACCTGGGGAGACTGCCCTTCAGTGTGGCGACGGCACAGAGAATCCAGGGAGAATCCAGGTGTCAGCAGGGCTCTGTGCCGGCGCTGAGCCCGCCCGGTGCCTGCCGCAGGCCGGCAGCTCCCTCTGGTGTGCTCCGAGCGCTTCCAGAGCCGAGAGCAGCGAGCCTGGGGCGCTCTGGGGACAATTCCCACTGGATTGGTGGTGACACAGGCAGCTGCTGGCCCTCACCTGCCGCAGCCCCAGGACAGCTGCAGGCTGTGCTGGTGCCCAGCTCCGAGCACAGGGACTCAGCCCGGGACTGCCCCAGCTGCTGTGGGGACGCTGCACAGCCTGCTCAGGCTCCGAACTCTCGAGACAAGACAGAAGATAAATTCCTTTGGCAGCTGTAGTTTCCAAAGAAATTGGGGGAAGGTGAAGAAACAGGAAATCTCAGAGCAGTTTGGTACATTCTGTTTGCCTGTTACATCTCATACTTTAGTTTATTCATCTAATCCACAGCACCTGCTTTTTATGTGGCCTAACAGAGTAGAACTCTTCCTCAAATTCAAGTGACTAAATACTAAAATCCTAAAAAAATCAGATAAAATTCAGCTCTTAAATACTTCTCAATTTCTTTATTCAAGAATGTCACAGCAAAGTAGTAAAATTCTGAATTTTAAGTAACTGTGATTTTCTTTTCAGTAAACTGCATGGGTAAACACAAGTCACAGTGAAAAAAAGAAAATACATTGCATAGCAACATCAAGTTTGGCTATTAGCCCAGAAAACCCTGGGTACTTCACTAGTTTCTTTTTACACAGGTAACTTTATAGGTTCAAGATGCAATTTTTCTCAGTAATGTAGAGGTCAAAGGAAAATAAAATTACATTTTATGTGCTTTTAAAAGGGGAAATTAAAACAACATTGAAGAAATGTCAACACAGTAACAAAAACAGTATATTAAATTGCAGCTGTCATTACATGTCAATTGCTCATGTATATATTAACAGACAACACTAAAAGGGATTTTGGTTGAGAGCATATTTATTATTTGGATAATTACTGTCACTTTTATTTTCAACCTGAGAAAAAGGGAAAAGTGTAAACAGGGATTAAGAAATCACTATAAGTCACTTGATAGAATTTAAACTTCACACAGTTTTGTGCTTCCACAGATGTAAACCCTTCTGGGTTTTTTTCCCTCTAAGTGAAATAGGACTAAAAAGAGAATATTGATGGTAATGGACTCAGTAGAAATATTAAATCAGCTTCATGGCAGGTTTTTTAGCTTGAGTACCTCTGCTATTTCATAGCAAACAAATTATTAGAACAGCTTAAGGTAAGCCTTTCCCTGAGAGCTGCTAACTCCGCAGTATTTAATTATCTTTTTGTAAGGAAGTGTTGCATTAACAGATAGTTCTACCAATACTTCCTATGCTTTGAGCTACTTTTATACCAGATTCACTGTTCTTAGATTAACTAGAAGCTTTAAATGTGCATAACCACTTCAGTTTATGTCACAGTTAACAAAATAGATTTTTTTCACATCCTTAGCCCTTATAGGTATGTTTTTCAAACATAATTGTAAAACAAAAGATAAAAATATTTTGGTTTAGTCCTTAATTAGTATGTAAGTTCTGATGCCTTCTTGTTATATCCACTCTGTTCAGAAAGTGTTGGAACTCTGAAAAGTAAGTTTTTGTCGCTTACTGTTAGAACAAGCTCCAGTTCTTGGAAATCCTGTAGCCTTGCAACATCCTTGTCCTTTAAACAAATACAATAAGGAGTTAGGTGAGAGTGTCTGTTAATTTTGCAGAGGTAAATTAAAATAATAAGCTCATACTAACACAGGGTATGTATTTATTCGTAACTATGACAATTCTTTATAGTGAACTGGAAAGCAAATATCCTGTTGCATCTTGTATTTACTCTGGAGTCTTATCCAACTATTCCCTTAAGTCTGTTTTTAGAAGGAATGCAACGCTGACAGTGAGTGCAAGTGATGAGTGGGATTACACTTGTCAAGATCTACTGCATGGCACCCAAATCCTCTTTTTTTTTCCCCTTGCTAATTCTTAGAAGCTGATGAATTGATGCTTGCATCTGCCCAAGGAGGTCCTGCATGTGGACCTTCATGGCCTGCATGGCTTCCTTCAGAACTGCCCAGCAAGGCCAGCTCTGAGCCCCTGCAGCAGTGCTCTGCTGCCAACAGCAGAACAGAGTCAGGTTTGTGTCACTGCAGGAGCAGCAGGGGTCCTGAAGTCCTGCCAGAGAGCCTGAAGTGATTAGAAATGAAAATAAAAAGTTCTTTCAACAAAAACTAAAGTTGGAAAGTGACAGAATTGCTTATGTCTTTTCTTTTTCCTCCACTTTTTGACTAACACAGAGCAGGACATCTGTAGTCAGTGAAGATGCAGCAGAGTGAAGTCTGTTAATCTATTCTTAATTAGATTTGCCCCACGAGTGACATCAACAATACTCTGTAAGGATTTGAGAGTGAAAGAAAGGTCCGGGGTGAGTTGGTGAAACAGGTCAGCAGGTCTCTTCTCTGTTGGCTACAGGGTAAATGTCACTCAAGGAAGGACAGTTATGTTCAGAGTAACCCTGAAAAACATTTCTGCACAAGGACTGCAGCCAGGCCTTGCTGAACTCACAGAGCTTGGTTGAGCTCTGCAGATCTTTTAAATGCTGTTGGCAGCTCACAGTGGTGTTGTGTTGTACTGAATTTTACAATGGAGTCATAAAATCAGGTATTAACTGGCTCCAGCACCAAATGGTTATGAAAGGAGGTGATCAAGAAATGTGAGAACCTTTTTACTGAAGAAATCCCAAACAAGTACTGAGTGTTGCAAGTTGAGCAGAGATTTTTCATTTTTGGTTTGTTTTTTTCTTTTTCAACATGGGTCTATGCAGGTGACCAACAAATTATTCCTTTACACCAGTAACCTAAAAATCTCTTTTCTAAGTTGCTGCAGTTCAAAAGGTAGAGCTCTTACCTTTCTTAACATTGTATTTGGTAATTTTCTGATCTTCTGGACATGTTCAGGGTTCACACCCAGCTCATGGCAACTCACTCGGAGGAGCTCCTTGTAGGTCAGTTCTTGTCTGTCCAGTTCAATTTCAATGAAGTCATTTTCTCTAAGATTAGGGGTTTGTATTCTCACTTTAAGCACCAGTTCTATTAGAAATAAAAAGTCACATTAACAGGCAGAGATATAAAGGAATTGGAAACAATGTCTCTATAACAACTTCCAGGTATTTCTATGTTCTATTCATGTCTTTTGTGTCACTGGTAAGAATATGATTCCTCAGAAAGCAAAACCTGGAATTGTATGACCACAGTTTTAATTAGATTGATTTTCATCGAACTATATGAAAAAAACCATAGCAAATCTAATGCAATGTATGTGTGCATGTCTGAACCATTGCACGAATACTCTTTAATTGATTTAAGCTGATTTAACAGCAGCTTATACTGGTTATCAATTTCCTGAGCAATCCAAGATTGCCTTTATTGGTATTTCTTGCTCTCAGTTCACTTTGCATTGCTACCCATGCTATCAGAATGCCTTTTACTTAAAGAACAAAATTCTTAATGGTAACTGGAATTCCAGGTTTCCCTCTCTGGGTAGGCAGAGTTTCCCTGCAGAACAGGCAGATCCTAGAACAGCTCAGTGCAGACTGAGCCATGTGAGGTTCTCTTGAGCTCACTGGCTTCTTGCTCATGATCTGTATTTGCAGCTTAGACTATGCTATTTAGAGAATTACATTACCCTGGTGTCTGTATGCTTTTATATCGAGACGGCAAATGTTTACACCAATATTTTAATAACAGTTCTAGCAGAAACAGCATATCTGCCTACTGCATTCCCTTCAAATGTTTGCTGAATGCCTAAGCATGGCAATCTGAAAGTCTCTGGAAACACATGATTAGTCTGCACTGCCCAAGGTGTCAGAAGATCAACACAAAGCCAGAAGAGACTTTTGGTGTTACCTTGCATGTTGAGTGGAAAAGCTCCTGTGAAGAAAACGGGCTGAAAGGCCGGCACCGGTCCCATGCAGGAGCTGTTCCCTTGCTGGGGTAGGGACTGGTTGGATCCTGCTGGCAAAGAGGGACTTCTTCCCCAAGACACTGACCCCTGGTAAACAGGAGCTCTCTGCAGGACAGGATTTGGGTGTGATGGCCCAGCAGACCCTCGAGGCAGGGGTGGGATGTCCCTGTTGGGAGGCACCTCAGGAGCAGCATTCCCAGCCTGCAGCAGTGCTCGTGCTCGTCCGCAGGAGTCCGAGTCAGGCACAGATGGAGAGCTGGTGTCTTGTGGTTCCAAGTGTGAGAGATTCCCATTCAGGGTAGGATCTGGAATGCTGGTACTCAAGGTGTTGTAAACATATGGGAAAGGTGGGTTAGCGAGGTAATTGGGGATGATTGGCAGATCTGAATCTTGCTTTAAGTCTGGGAGTTCATCTTCCACTGTAAAACAAACCAAACAACATTCTCCAAGACTGATTTTGGGTTTCTTGTTTTTGGGAATGCACAGTTAAAAGCATCATGGGTTAAAAGATACATCCAGAAGCACCGTGTCTTTTTTTCCTACAATAAACAGAATGCTCAGGTGTTGCCATGCAAACATAAAAGCTGAGTCTGACTCTAATAATTCTGGGGGTGCTAATTCCTTCTAAACACTGCAGTACTTCTGTTTTGGCTTGTTTTAATCTGTAGCAGAATATTGTATCATGGTGTCTGGTGGAATAATGCTGTCATCTTCATAGTGTAGCAGGCAATGAAAAACAAAGGGTCGTATGTTGTTTAATATTAAGGTAGAGTATAAAGGGAAGGGAAGGGAAGGGAACATGCAGTACTGGGAGAGCTGCAGCATTACCCATTCAACAGCTGGGAGAGACAACAATGAAAACAAAACCAGACACAGGAGTACACAGGAGAGACAAGACATTGTTAATCAGCCACATTTCAAATTACTTATCACCTCCAGCAGCAAAACCTGCTCTGTTCCAGCAATTACAAAACATGACAGAGATGCTCTACCAATGTCCTTTAATGAGCCATTTATCTGGGCTGCTAATTTTTGATCTATCCAATGCAGAACATGAGGAAAATCAGGTGTTGCTCATAGAAGACCTTCCTACAAATTAGAGAGATTTTTCTTCTGCTGTCCTTCTGAAAACTGGAAACTGCATCTACCTGGCACACAGCATTCCTCAAAATACGGATTTTCTAAATTTCCAGTGTTTTGAAAAAAGTTTGGCTAGCTGGGTATGGAATTTATTGGTAATCCCCTTTACTTAAAACTTTGTTTTCTTACCATGTAAACACTCTAGAAAGCAAGTGCTAATACTAAAATCCAAACACAGTATCCTCACATGCAAAACAAAGATTGGAGTGCGCATGCTTTGAACACCCTTTCACCAATCTTTGATGACCATATGGCACAGTCACTATAGGTTACCTCCCAGCATCTTCCTGATCTCTCTCTTGGATGTTAACTGGGCTGGCCTCTCCCCTTTCTTTGTCAGGATGTCCTTGTCAGCCCCAGCGTGCAGCAGGTAAGCCACAACTGCCACGTGGTTCCGCTTGCAGGCCCAGTGCAAACAGGTCCTGCACATGGAAAACACAAATGCTGTGTCAAATCCTGAGTTATGGCAGATTTGTTTCCACTCATTCTTGCTGCCTGTGAGAAGAACACTCCATGTACTTGTAAAATAGGTTGGAATTGCACACTTCGTTGGAAATTTGCCCTGGATTGGGAGTCAGCAATGGCACCTGCTGATGTTATTTTCTCTTTGCTCCAATGCTCTTTACTGCAGTCGTATTTCCAAAGTTCAGGACTTTTTAAATTTATCATTTCTTAGGCTACAGTCTTTAGGCTACTGGAAGAATAAGTATAAAAGTAAGGTTTGTATATGACATTTTAATCTTTGAAAGAATCAGCTGTTCTTAGAATACTTGTGTTTGTGTATATGTGATTTATTACTGGTATCTCCCTAGGATATGTACTCTTTAGTTAATGCTGCCAGCACAACTACTTGCACTTTCTGGCAAGTAAATTACATTTAAAGCATCATTTCTAAGAACAGTTCTTTGCCCAGTTGCCATTTGCTGCATCAGTTACTCGGCTTAGATCTGCAGACAACTAATTTTCTGCTATCTCTAAGTGAGGCACACAACTAATCCCTTTTCTGTATTTTCAAATTATTATTTGCAGCTTCTGACTAGAGAAACATATTAAGGCAACATAAAAGCTGCTTAGTGCTCAGATCTTATTTAGTGTGTGTACTATTTAGTGTGTGTACTTACAGACTCTCATGTTAACTTGCTATAGAGTTGTACCATTCTTTCCTACCCCATGTTCTAGTGATATTTGACCCTTCTCTAGCTTTTGTATTTTAATTCTCTAACTCTAGCTGAAGGAAATTCTTCAGGAAAATGAACATGCTCAGCCCTTCTACAAGTTTGTTTATTTTTTTTAAGAATTATATAAAATAAAGCAGAGATTAATAAACTTAGAAGGGAAAAAACTGTCAGCTGAAAGTCCATCTTCAAAAAGCTTTTTCTTCTTCAGGTGGTTTGGTTTGATTTGGTTTGGTTTGGTTTGGTGGGGTTTCTTTACAGAAAGAGATTGCAAAGCCAGACAGGGTGGTATTTGCATTGAGAACAAAACTTGCTGGTTTAGTTTTTAGAGAAGATATGTGAAGCTCAACAGCACAGCCTCATTTTGGGATTCATCATGGCCATTCCATGTGGCCTGTGCAGAGAGGAACCATCTACCCATGGACTTGATACTCACCAAAATGTAAGTACTCAGCACCTCTAGGAATCACACATACTAAGAAGCTCGCTGCAAAAATTTTAATTGTACAAACTTAAACAACAATGAAGATCCATTTATTGCCATGGTTAAAAACTACCAGATCATTATTTTAAAAAGAATTAATTTTATTAAAAGACTTATTTCATCAATTCCAGTTTTAGACACAAACTCATTCTGATGACAGGCTGGTTTTCATCTCACTCTCTAAGATAATTCAGCATCCTTTGAATCAGTTGCTTTATATTTTTACAAGCTTTAATTTTAATCACAATTTAAAGCTCAAGTTGTTAAGTGTTCCATGCTTCTCAAAACTGCTGACTGAAGTTTCATCTTTAAAAGTCTTGCTCCTTTCCTAATTTTATTTTTCCTATTTTTAATTATAATGTTATAGAATCCTAGAATGGTTTGAGTTGTAAGGGACCTTAAAGTTCGTCTCATTCCACCGCCTGCCAGGGGCAGGGATACTTTCCACTCTCCCAGGTTGCTCCAAGCCCTGTCCAACCCAGCCTTGAACATTTCCAGGACAGGAGCAGCCAGTTTCTCTGAGCAACCTGTGCCAGGCCTCCCCACCCTCACAGGGAAGAATTTCTTCCTTACATGTAATCTAACTCTCTCCTCTTTTAATTTAAAACTGTTCTCCCTTGTCTCATAACTGTCTGTGTAAAAAGTTTTCCCCCTTTTTTTTTTCTTTTTATAATTTCAAGCACGAGACAGCACAGCAAATACAGGCTGAATTGAACCTGCAGAAAACAGTCTCCAAAAATGCCTGAGCATTCCCTGTAAAATCTTCCTTCTAATAAAATTATGTGTGTGTTTATGTCTACAGTGTTACTTATACAAGTGTCTATTACAGAACAGCCTTCTCTTTAATGTTCTCAGGTGGATATAAATCCCAAGTGTTTGTATACGTCACTGGAACAAGTTCCCTGCTTGAAAGAGAAAGTCATTTTCAAACTTGAGTTAATAATAAATATTTCTGCTTAGGCAAGAGCATGTAAAGCTGAGGTTTGTGTTCTGACAGACCACGCCGTCTCAGGCTGGAGAAAAAAAAAAAAAAACATCAAAACCAACACTGCAAAGTAAGTCCACAGTGACCTGGAGAAGGGTCAAAAAGGGCAGGAGGTGGAGAGGAACGCGTGATTATGGCCCTGGTTATCCCCTCTGGAATAAGGACAGCTCCACAGCAGTACTCGGAGGCGGATGGACCTTTTCTCTCCTCAATTCACCTTCCGCCTCGCCTCTCACGTGCGGGGCGAACCGGCAGCGGCCTCCGCAGCGGACCGCGCGGGCCGAGCTCCCCGAGAGCCCGGCTCGGGGGGCGCCCTTACCATCCGTTGACTTCGTTCTGGGAGTTGAGGCCGACCCCCAGCTCCACGAGCCGCCGCACCTCCTCCGCGTCGCCGAGCGCCGCCGCCTCCCGCAGCCGCTCCTGCCGCTCCCGCTCCGCCATCTCCCCGCAGCCGCCGCCCGCGTCCCGCATCGCGTCCCGCAGCGCCTCCCGCAGCGCTCCGCGCCCGCCGCCGCCGCCCCGCCGCGCTCCGGCGCGGGGGACACTATTGCCGGTGACAACCCAGCCCCGACAGCCGGTTCCGGGGCCGGGCCGGACGGGGCAGTCCCCGGTAAACGTTGTTTAATTGACGTGCAGATGTGTCGTGCGTGCTGTTTCTTGCTCTGCCGATTGTTTTTGCGGGATGTCGATTTAGCATGGAGTGGATTATGGAATCCACTCCATGATAAATCGTGTTGGGAGTGACCTTAAAGATCATGTCGTTCCACACCCCCCATCCCTCGCCATGGGCAGGGACACTTTTCACTACACCAGGTTGTTTAGAGGCCCCATCCAGCCTGATATTGGACACTTCCATTATTTCTAGCTCAATGAGTGTCTGTGGTAATTTAATTAAGATTGGTTTTAATAATAATAGTTTTAATAATAATAATTTAGCCTCTGCTAAAGAGGCTAAATAGAGGGATTCAGAAAAACTGGCTTTGCCTGGTAACTGCATGAGGAGATACTGAAGAGATTTTTAAGATTATGATGATTTGGGTTGGGAAGGAACATAACACTCATCCCGTTCCAACCTCCTGCCATGGGCAGGGACACTTTCCACTAGACCAGGTTGCTCCAAGCCCCATCCAGCCTGGCCTTGAGCACTTCCAGAGATGGGGCATCCCCTCGTCCTGCATAGCAAACTCTTGTTGTCTTTGTGCATTCTCAGCAGAGTCAAAGAATCCCTAAAAAACATAAGTAAAATAAAGATCACTATCTGTCTGCAAAGCAACTGGAAAGATTATAGGTAATTTCTGCCATTTGCATGTTTGGTTTGAAAAGCTGTTTTTTGTCATCATGGGTTTGTCCTAAACCAAGTTACAGAGCAGTCAGTAAAAACTTTACCACTATAAAAAGGCAAAATAATAATTTCAAACTTCACTCAGACTTTTGAACACAGTTTGCTCTGTGCAGTTATGGCAGCATGCCAAGGAATTCTGCAGTAGCTGGGCTCCAGTGTACCTGTTTGCTTCTTCAGTGCAATCGGAGCATTACAAAGAAACTGAAAGAGCCCAATTCTGCCCCATTTCCCAGCACTAGCACCCCACCTTCCCTCCCATCCCCAAACCCAGACTGCAGCATATTGACTGAAAATTCATACCATAACTTGTGCTATGTTGATTTCAATCACACTGTTTCAACCGTTCAGATGGGTTCCTAAATAATTACAAAATTGCAAAGCTTGAAAGAAGTTCGTGGTGCCTCACAGTGCTGCATTAGGGAGACATTTCCGAAAGGAAACTCCTCAGGTAACAGCTGGTGCTTGTGTGAAGCCCTCAGCGATGCTGAACAAAGTTGCTGTACATCTAAGCGGGTTTTACAGGATCAGCATGAGCATTGGCTTCAAGCTTTTCAAAAAATATTATATAATTTTTAATTAATTGTAGGTACTTAGGACATTCAAAACATTGATGAGTAATTGGGAAATAGTTGACAATTGCTATGTGAAATTCAGTAGATACCGAGTACAAAGTCACGTCTAGAAAAGAAAACAAAATGGGCTGGTTCCAAGGTCAAAGACTAAGATTTTTGTTACGTATGCAAGACATCTATTCTCCCTCAACCTGTCAAGCATGGGACAGGCTTTCCAGAGAAGTCGTGGTCATCATCCCTTGAAGTGCTCGAAAAACGTGTGGCTATGGCACATGAGGACATGGTTTATTGGTGAGTGTGGTGATGGTTGGACTGGATGACCTTAGAGGCCTTTTCCAACCATAACGATCCTACAATTCCCTGAATTCCTATGTGAACATGCACAGGTGGAGGCACTCAGGACGAGGACTCAGAAGCAGCACATCAGGAGCAGTTTGAGCGTTTTTTTCTCCTGCCAGGATGGAGAGGGGACTGACACTGCTTCAGCTGTGCCCAGGCCCGTGTCCTCAGCCTCCAGCCACGACCAGCAAGGTCACCAGCATTGTGTCCCTGCGTTCGGACACCGCGCTGGCCTGGACACCGCCTGCCGTGACAGATCACCGTCTGCAGGGATACCACAGGGAGCTGGACATTATTTGTCCTGACACCTCACTGGGCAGGACACCGTCTGTGTGGCAGCCGCTGCCCCTCACGCGGAGCCACACGCGACTGCGGTGGTTCCGCGTTCCGCTATTTGTGCGGCCTCGCCGCTCCTGCCTGCGCGCCTCACGGCGGCTCGGGCTGGGCACGGAGGCGCCGTGAGGGAGCGGAGCACGGCGGGCTCGGCCCGCGCGGTGCATTGTGGGCAGGGCCAGCCACCGCCGCCATTTTGTCTCCGCCAGGCGCGGCGCGGGTTGTCGGGGTGAGGTTGCCGAGCTGGTGTCTGGCGAGGGGGATTCGGCCCGCAGCTCACGATGATATCGGCCGCCCAGCTCCTCGATGAGCTCATGGGCCGGGACAGGAACCTGGCCCCGGATGAAAAGCGCAGCAACGTGCGGTGGGACCACGAGAGCGTGAGTGCAGCGGGGCCGCCTCTCTCCTCCCTCCTTCGCTGCTCTCGCACACTGCGCGGAGGCGGGGGTTTGTCGGAGCGACATGGGCGGCTTCTCTTGGCCGGGGATAACTGCGGGAAGGGGGGAAGAGGGAAGGGGTGAGGTGCCGGCCAGAGCGGGGATTCCGCCTGGGTTGTCGGGGTGCGGGTTTTGTCCTTCGTGCTGGGCCCTGCATGGCGGCCTGGGGCGGGCCGGGCCTGGCCGTGCGCGGGACCAGCGCCGAGTCTCACCGAGGAGGAGGAGGAGGAGGAGGAAGATCCACACAGCTGGGCTGTTGTTGGGCTACAGGAGGGGCAGCCGCGGTGTTTGCGTGTCTGCGGGGGAAGGCTGTGCCCGCCGCGCCGCCGTTAACGGGAACGGGGGTTTCCAGAGAGCTGCTGGCGGCAGAGGTCTCCCCGTAGGGAAACAAAAATAAGGCGGCGGGGCGGTTAAAGGAATTCCACACTTCTCAGCGGAAGCTGCTGACTTGCACGGAGTGGGGGTGAGACAGATGTTCTAGTTTGGGAGATACATTTATCTGGGCCTCTTCCTGAGGATGGTGTTGCGGGAGGAAGAAGAAGGGCGCGCGCGTACCGACTTTAATGTCTGGAGCTTGTACTACGAGGAAAAAACGTAAGACTTTAGAAAGTGAGGGTTTGGTTAAGAAAAGCTCGATTCTTTCCATTTTTCCTCACTCAGAGGAATCTGCCTGGGAGGGGGGGACGGACGCTGTCCTAAACAAACCTGTTGTTTAGGAGTACTTAACGTACTTTAGTTAATGTGGTGCTCATTCATTTTCTGCAATAAGTAGCCCAAACAACACAATGTTGTTACTATTGTTATTATTACTATTATTATTTATTGTGGTTTCTCCAATTGGTTAAGCTTTAATGAATGATGAGTTAGTTTTGGCTATCCTAGTTGAATTGTAAGTTATTTCAGGAAAACTCGGTGGTACCTACAGAGTTCCTATAGCTGCTGCTTTGGGAGAGATGAACACTGATGAATTTTTAAATTTTATTTTCTCCCGTTCGTGATACCTTTTTTTCCGTTATGATGTATGTTAAAAAAAAGTGTCGCGGTTACAATAATTTATCACATAAGTGAGGAATTTCTGTAATTAAAGCTGCACAAAGCATTTAGCTCCTTCCCCCTTAGCATTTGCTTGGGGTGTTGTTTATTTGGGAGGAGGGAGAAATGCTTGGATTTGGCTGTTCTAAATTGTATCTTAATCAGAGACATGATTTCATGTTTTTATATGGGATTTAGGTGCTTATAAAGGAGGATAATACTTGTTCGAATTTGTTTGGAGTGGTTGAATTTGTATGACCTAAGGACCAATACCTGTTTTACCTTAGATTTTTCAAGTGTGAGGAACCATTCTTTCCCTTGAAAAATGCTGCTGTGTAGGTAAGCAGTGTATGTCAGGAAGAAATTGTGAGTTCAGGAAGTTTTCATGACCTTGTTTATGTTTTTCTAGACTTACTTTATTAAGAAAATTCAGTTGGGTGTTCAATTAGATATTTTCCTTTGATTGTGAATTTAAAATAAGGAGGAGTTAGATGAAATACATGGAATACAAGGTGAATGGCTTGAGCCGTGTTGGCCCAGGTAGAACAGATGAGGGGATTGGTTTGGTTTATTCATTAAGGTGAGAAAGACTTCTTTTCTTGGTTGGTTTTTGTTTTCCCCATCATTCATTTTGAGTAAGTTCAGATTGCCTTCTTCATCTTCAGTTAAGCAAATCACAGAGTATTTTCAATTTTTCCTTTCACTTACAGCTTTCGGCTGAAGAGTTTGACTGTAACCAAAGGACTCAGTCCCTAAGCTGGTCACTTTTGTTGTTTTAGAAACAGTTCAGAAAGCGAGCGCTGTCTGTGTCTGAGAGCAGCAGGAAAGTTACAGGCTTAGGGTTGAGCCTTCAGTCCTGCAGGATCTGCTGCTGTTTGCTCTGCTTCTGCTTTTGTTTATGATTAAGTACAATCTTTCTGCAAGGAATGTTTTCTTAGATTTCTATAGTCAACTGATGAGTTCATAAACCCCTACAATTACTGCTGTTAAACACGTGTCTCAGTTTGACTTCCTTTGTCACCTAAAGATCAAATTTGCAGTGCTGACATGTTTTAAAAGACAGGAAATGCAGATAAGGTTCAAATGGTAACATTAATTCCTCTGCCTGCTTTTCAGGTGAAATACATCTGCTAATGTAATTTCTTTTGAGATTAGACATTGATCAACATGCAGCCTGCTCAGTGCCAGCGTGTGTAGGATTTTGTGTCACGTTTCATCAGTTTTGAACATGGAAGATTATCAAAAGAAGCTGATCTGTATTTTGCTTATTCTTTGGACATTGCATCCATGTGGCTATCAGAAACTGGAAGGTGCAGTGAAATACAAGATGGAAGTGGAAAGTGTGAAAGCAGAGGGTGTGATACCTCAGTGTGTGATTTAGTTGCAGTGCCAACGAAACGTGTAGATCATATATTATAAAAGCTTTTGTAGATCTTAAGTTCTTAGTATAAGACTTTGACATGTTTAAAGCCTTTAATCTTTAAAAATTG